TATTATATTCCATGATGAACTATTTTTTTTATGGTTAAAGAGTTTCATGTCATTACTAAGAGAACTTTAATTTAAAGTTGGTATTTTTAGGAAAAATATAACAGGGATGAAACATAAAATTCTAGATCTATAAAGACAACTAACTTATAAACTATTAAGAATAAATTTGCTTAAATTGAAACTATTGAGGATAATTAGGAATGCAGGTTGATGTATGCTAAGTAATATGCATAATTCCTTACTTAATCCCCAGGCATTTAAAATGTTTAAGTTTCCCATATTAGACAAAACTGTCTCATGCCTCTTACTTGCTGCAAGGGCTTTGTTCGAATTACACTTTGGGGTCATTTAGATTAGATTAGATTTCTTTTTTTTTCCTTACAACAAAATTCCATACTTTTTATTCGAATTCCTGATTTCTGTTTTTTGATTATTATTATTACAAATTTTTACCTCCTCCCGTTTCCCTCCTCCTCTTCCCATTCCCCCCCTCCCTCTCCAGTCCAAAGAGCAATCACGGTTCCCTGCCATGTGGGAAGTCCAAGATCCTCCCGCCTCCATCCACGTCTAGGAAGGTAAGCATCCAAACAGACTAGGTTCCCACAAAGCCAGTACATGCAGTAGAATCAAAACCCAGTGCCATTGTCCTTGGCTTCTCAGTCAGCCTTCCTTGTCAACCACATTCAGAAAGTCCGGTTTGATCACATGTTCCATCAGTCCCAGTCCCAGATGGCCTTGGTGAGTTCCCATTAGATCAGCCCCACCATCACAGTTGGTGGGCACACCCCTCGCGGTCCTGACTTCCTTGCTCATGTTCTCTCTCCTTCTGCTCCTCATTTGGACCTTGGGAGCTCAGTCCAGTGCTCCAATGTGGGTCTCTGTCTCTATCTCCATCCAAACACTATCCTGAGTGAGGTAACCCAGACCCAAAAAGATGAATATGTGTAGTAATAAGGGTGGCGGGGCTGTGTTCCCAGCACCCCGGCCGCCTGCTCGGCTAGCTTATGCCCCGAAATAACAACACACAAACTGTATTCATTTAATCACTGCTTGGCCCATTCTCTTCTAGGCTAATTCTCACATATTAATTTAGCCCATTTCTAATCATCTGTGTATGGCACCCCAAGGTGCGCTTACCGGGGAGATTCTAGCCTAGTCCATCCTGGGTCGGAGCTTCATGGCATGTGTCTGCCCGGGGGCGGGGCATGGCGTCTCTGCTGAGGCGTCTGCTCCAGAGAGCAGAGCTGTGGAGTCTCTGACCTCACTTCCTCTTCCTCCCAGCGTTCTGTCCTGTTTTCTCCTCCCACCTATCCTCTAACCAATAAAATGGGCCAGGGCAGTGCCTTTATTAGCCAATGACCTTCCTCCATCAAATATGGTATGTACTCACTCATTAGTGGATTCTAGCCGTAAATAAAGGACATTGAGCATATAATTCATGATCCTAGAGAAGCTAAATACGAAGGTGAACTCACAGAAAAACATGTAGTTATCCTCCTGGATATTGGAAGTAGACAAGATTGCCAGGCAAAAATTGAGAGCTTGGGAGTGGGGGTAGGGTGGTGGTAAGGGGAGATGGGGAGAGAGAAGTGAGAAGGGGAGGATATGGAGAGCTTGGAGGAATGGGACGGTTGGGTTGGAGGAAGAGTGGATCTGGGAGAAGAGAAGTATATATCTTAATTAAGGGAGCCATTTTAGGGTTGGCAAGAGACTGGATTCTAGAGGGGTTCCCAGGTGTCCAAAGAGATGTCCCCAGCTTGTTCCTTGAGCAGCTGAGGAGAGGGCACCTGATCTGGCCCTGTACTATAGCCATATTGATATATCTTGCATATCACCATAGAACTTTCATCTAGATTAAATTTCTTATACTAGATCTAAAAATCATTTACCTTGTTACCAAATTCCAAATAGAGGAGAGTTCACCACACAGGTTTCAAAGTAACTTTTTACTATTCCTTTGATTAAAGATACTCACTCTACATAGACTGCTCTCAATAATTTATGGCCCATGTCTGTTGATTAATTAAATAAAAATATATTAGGATGTAAAGTTTTTCAAATATATAAAGGTTTAATCAAATGATTTTTGGGGAGATTGAAAATAAGGTCTAAATATATAAACAATAATAATGCAGATTTCCTTCCCCTTCTATGATATTGTTATATTAAGATTTCAAAAGTTTAAAGTTTAACATTAATAAAATTCTAAATAAACTGATACAACAATGATGCCTGCTATGCAGCCATAAGCTCAGGATCCTATATTTCCTGGTCATTTCTTAAATATAGACAAAAATACTTCTGATTTTAATGGAGGAATTTTCCTGATTTATATCCATCTAATCTCCTAAACAAATAATTTGGTAATTGCTTTTAACAAAAATTATTTTTAGGTTTCCAAACTTCTATTATGACTCAAGAAAAATGAGTCTCTTGCCTTTTCTATAACATGGATTTCATACAGACTGCATATATTATTAATAATACTGAATTATCTGACATTTTTGCCTCATAAAAAAGTTTTTATAAGCTTCAAGAGATCAACTTGGGTCAACCATCATCACAGTCAAAATGAACTCAGATAAGTATTATCTGTCAACAGTTTATTTTCAAGCCTGCCTATTTGAATTTGGGGGGGGGACTTTTCCTCTTTCTTTGACCTGGACTACCCTCTCTCATCTGCTAAAACTATACACATAATATTCCAAACGTGCACCTGAGAGAAAAAGTTTCCTCTTTAAAATGTCTTAATTTCATGTTCTACTGTTAATGCATATTTACTCCACTAGATTCACAATCATTGAAAGGGTTACAAATTGTTCTGTCATCCTCTTGGGCATCAGCATCGTCTCTCTGCAGCCCCGTGAACAGCCTTCCAGCTCACACTCCAGAGGATTCTGCTGTGCTCTCCTGGCCTTATCTCAGCACAGGGATCTGTTGCTTATTTTTGTTTTAAAGACACAAAATTGGGTGAGTAAGGATGGATCAGGTGATTCTTGGAATCAGGAAGAGTGTAAATTGGATCAAAATAATTTGAAGAAATTTCTCAAAGAACAAAAAACCTTTTTGAGGAATCTGAATTAGGAGAAGGTGTGAATCGCAAATTATTTGGATGCTTTCTATAATGTGCCTGAACCATTTGCTTTTATAGTCATAATTTACTTTTTCTTTATTTGTTGTGTGAAACACTGTCTCTCCCTGAACAAGACTGATGTCCAATAAACTCTAGGGATCCTCCTGACTTGTCTTCTGTAGAACTGAAATAACAGAAGTGTGAGAAGAACCCTGCTTGGATTTTTATGTGAGTGATGAGAATTTGAATTCTTACCCACTCACCTTTTTCTCCAGCCCATATAAACCTAAGCCAGGCATGGTGGCACACTCCTTTAAACACACAACTAAGGAGGAAGAGGCAGGGAGATCTCTGAGTTTAGGGCCAGCCTGCTCTACATAGTGAGACTCTGTCTCAAAAAAGAAAAAGAAGAAAGAAAAAGATTTTTTTCCTATATGCTGTTAAAATTATTCATTTATCAGTATGGTTATAGGATAGGGTCATTTCAGGTTCCCTCTCCTCAGATGCCCAAGGAACTAGCTGGGGACATCTTCCTGGACACCTGGGAGCCCCTCTAGAGTCAAGTCTCTTGCCAACCCTAAGATGGTTCCCTTTATTAAGATATATACTTCCCTGCATCCCATATCCCAACCATCCCATTCCCCCACGCTCTCTCCATCCTCCCCTTCTCACTTTTCTCTCCCCATTTCCCCTTACCCCCATCCTACCCCACCCCCAAGTTCCCAATTTTTGCCTGGCAATCATGTCTATTTCCAATATCCAGGAGGATAACCATACTGATGAATATCTTGCATATCACCATAGAAACTTTATCTGGCAATGGATGGAGATAGAGACAGAGACTCACACTGGAGCACAGGACTGAGCTCCCAAGGTCCAAATGAGGAGCAGAAGGAGGGAAAACATGAGCAAGGAAGTCTGGATTGCGAGGGGTGCACCCACCCACTGAGACAGTGGGGCTGATCTATTGGGAGCTCACCAAGGCCAGCTGGACAGGGAATGAAAAAGCATGGGATAAAAGTGGACTCTCTGAACATGGCGGACAACGAGGGCTGATGAGAAGCCAAGAACAATGGCACTGGGTTTTGATCCTACTGCATGTACTGGCTGTGTGGAAGCCTAGCCTATTTGGATGCTCACCTTCCTAGACCTGGATGGAGGTGGTAGGACCTTGGACTTTCCACATGGCAGGGAACCGTGATTGCTCTTTGGACTGGAGAGGGAGGGTGGGAAAAGTGGGGGGAGGGGGAGAGGAGAGAGGAGTCAGGGGAGGGGGAGGGAAATGGGAGGTGGGGAGGAGGCGGAAATTTTTTTCAATAAAAAAATTATTCATTTAACTAATGGTAAATTTCCTTGTCTATAAGGAACAAGTTTGCACAGCTCACTGGCAGCTTTTGGGGGGAATCCTTTGAAGGTCCAACGCTCATGAGAAGTTACTGTTCCTTTCAGATTATTTACACAGAGCAATGGAAGGAAACTTACCCTGTGTTTACTATAAGTCACATGAAGATACTGGCAAGTCATTTCCCTGGGTTATCTCATCTGAATCTGAGGAGTTGATGTGAGTAGACTTATTTTTTCACATCTATTGTGAACAAGATTATTGGGTCAGATAAGGTCATAAACCTACCCAGTTTCTTTTGTGAATAATGTTCACCCAGTTTAATGATATAAAATGAACTTCTTGTAGAAATATATCTCCATTTTAGACATATAGTTCCTTTGTCAGGAATTTAGTTGAAACTAACCAGTCTTACAAGCATATTTCTGACAACATGGTCCATTCCATGGGTCTGTTTTGAAGACTCCCATGTTGGGCAAACTGCTAGTCCCTGAGAATGTTTTCTACTTTCCTATGAGGAAAGGAAAATGGATTACAAAGAAAACTTTTTATTAAGGCTAAATGAAGAAGCAACTTAGAAAGTGATATTTTAAAATGAAATATTCTTTATTCATCTAATAAAAAAATAAAGTATAGACATAACAAAAATGCATAAACAGATATTTGCAGTTTAACAATGAACTGCAGAATGTATGGTGTGGTGAGCACACCCGTGATCACCGCTTCTTGCAAAGGGTCACAGGTTCAGGTTAAGCGGAAAGACCATATTAAAAATAAAATTTATGACTGATGGTGTTGGTGTACTCCTTTGATTCCAGTACTGGGATTCAGAGGCAAGCAAATCTCTGTAAGTTTAAGGCCAGCCTGGTCCACAGAGTGAGTTCCAGTGTAGCCAAGCTACACAGAGAGACCCTGTCTTGAAAACAAACAAACAACAAATAAACAAAAAATTCACAAGCCCCTGGGATTAAAGGGTCATGTCACTACTGCCACCTGATGCTTTTCATTATTAAATCCAAGGGCAAGTGCAGTTAGAGTACTCATTTTGGTGGTCCCATATTCTCATAAGTATGACAGTCTCCACAAAAATCCTTATATCATAAAAGTGGGGTTCACTAACACTGATTGTACTGATGCTTAAGTCATGAGTGCCAACACCCATTTTAGATGCATTAGTGTTGTTCTAAACCCTTGTATGTGCCATTCTCCAAGATGGAGATTTGTGATGCCAGCAAATATTCAGGGTTTTTTTTTTTATAACAATGTTGGAAGATGGGAAAAAGAGCAGCATCTGTTGATATCAGGGTACAAAACATCTTTTGACAAAGACTAGGAAGAAGCAAAAGGAATTTGGCATTCGAGGATATAGCTGTTGGGCTTGCTACAGATCCATCTCCGGTCTGCATAGATCCTGGCACTGCTGATCCCATTGTTGTTCAGGTAGGCATAGTCTTCCACTCCTCGGATGGGAACCCTGAAAATAAACCAAAAACAGTAAATCTGCAGAGTCCAGAACTACATTCTCTCCTCAGTGTGATCTTGTCTGTCTGCCCTGCTTATTTGTAATATGAATCAAAGGAAGACTGAGTCCATGAGAATCATCTGCACTAGTTGTGCTTCTAGTGTCTTTTGTATTTTTAGGGTTTGATTTGAACACAGAAACTTTGACATTCATGCATGTTGAACCAACTTTTCAATGTGTTTCCAAAGTTTTGTCTTATGCTTGCTGCCCTGTTCAAATGAAATACAGCCATGGGTGGCATCATTGAGGTTGATTTTCAATTCTGTTTTGAAGCATTACATATATGAGGAAACTCACTTCTCTGAAGAGGGTGTTCAAGACAGGGTTTTTCTGTAGCGTTGAGGTCTGGCCTGAAAGTATCTCTTGTAGACCAGGCAGTCCTTTAACTTATAGAGACTTGACTACTGCTGCCTCCCTAGTGCTGGGATTAAAGGCATGTTTCAGCATTGCCCAGTTGAAACTCACTTCTTAGTAAATTTCTGAAAAGGCTTAAATGATGGACAAGACTGAGTCTGTGATACTATTCCTGTATAATGGCTTTATTCAAAACAACTGTTCTCTCACCCAAGAATGGTCTTGGTGCTCTCTAGTTACAAAACTTTAGAGGAGGTTTCCAATGCCATTGGAGCCTCTGCTTCAGTGAGTAGGTACAACTGTGCACACAATGGACTGCTGGGTCTCAGGCTTGACCTTCTGCAGTGGCTTCCTGAAGTTTCAGGGTCCTCATTGCCCTTTTGACATTGTGTGTACATTCCACACAGGGCATTTATCAACAACAAAAATATTTAAATTGGTGAAGAAACAGACAATAGCTTCCCCAGATGCCATCATCATGCTAAAGATTTTGAGGAAAATCACACTAAGTAAGGTTTTGAAAAAGAAGACCAATATACCTCTGAGGCAGTAAAGTGAGGTTCACATGACACAGCCTTTCCTCTCTAATAGACACAACAAACACACTTCACAACAAATCATCACAGTAGAAGAAAAATGGTTTGAAAACATACGAGCTGTTATATTCTGTATTGTCCATCCACCTCCAAGGGTGCTCTGTTGACTCTCTGTACAGGCCGATCCAGTAGTCAAAGGTCCCTTTGTATCTCCTCAGGAAGTTCTGTCATAAAACATGGAAAGTAAATATACGTATCTCTTTCTTTCAGATGACCCTTGAGTGTCCCCACCACACTTCCTCTTTAGATGACAAGAGGGTGTATATGAGGGACACAGACTTTGGAGCCATAATAGCCCTCAGTTCTCAGTGTATTCAGTTGACAGTCATAATTATTAAGTACCTCATTTGAATTAAAGTTAAGTTTTATGACATATTCCTCATGGCTGGATTAGTTTCTGGTTAAGCTTCCCCTTGCAGTTATTAACAGTTGTCAACTTCAGGATGCAGCATTTGCTAGCTTGGAGAAAATTGCTCATCACTAGCAGGTATCACAGTAAAGTGGTATATCCTACCTTCCAGATTGACTATGAGCACTTCCTGAGATGTCTCAGGGTTTCACTCAGGAGTGCTACCATCAACAAATGGCATGCACTCACTTGTTACCCATGTCTCCACCTGCAAGGGTGGGATCCTTCTTCAGGTTTTATCTTTAATCAACCTATCTCAAGGCAACACATACTCAGCAGAACAAACCAACAAACCAATTCCTGATCCTTTCTTACCAGCTCCTCCATGTTGTCAAATCGAGCTAGCTGTGCCTTTAATTCCATGCAGAAGTTCTGACTGAATGTCCAGTTACTTGTGTCTTCCGAAAAATAAAAACATTTACTCCCAAATCCAATCCAGTTTCTTGGGCAAGAACCAGAAGTATTTTTGATTGAGATATCTTCTGTCTTTCTTACTACAATTTAGACAATAAAATAATTTTTAAAAGGCATTGGCATACCCTACTGAGCGCAGCTATGAGGTGTGAATTTGATTGGTGGTTTCCTAACTGATCTGTAGAAGTACTCTGTTTAGGAAGATGGTCCTTTATCTAAAGGCATTCCAGTTCAAGCCTGTGCCCCAATCTCTCTGTTTCTCACTGACATTGGGGTGACTAGCAAATGAATTTTTACAATATCATCACTATTTGTGCTTTATCATTGTTCACTACAATATGTGTTGCTAGATTAACAAGCACTCTGTATGGACACTTACTTTGACAGTCAGCCTAATAATTGTGATAACAGTGAGAACTATTGGGAAGGTAGTGTTACAGTGTGGACCTGCTGCACTAAGGGCTTGCTCAAAGGTTGGAAAACATTGCTGGCTGGCTAGAAGTCAGTCTGCCATAGCCAATCAGCTAAGTTTGACAATATGGAACTCCCTCCTTCCCAAACAAAACTTCTTGCTCTCTACCTAGCCTTATTTGGATGATGTCCCTGGGCCTGGATGCCTGACCTTATCTGAAAGCTATCTCTAAACCAGATGCTTGTCTTTAAAGCCAGATGCTTGATCCGTCATTAACTTGACCCTTGATATAGATCCCTGCTAAGAATAGTGCTAGGAACTCTGCTAAAGGACCCTACTGCCACTACCAAGCCTTGTGACAGGAGCATGTCACTTAATACAAATTTGGGTTTTCCCAGTATTCCCCATATTATTTATTCTTTATACTCTGGAATAAAGTTGAGCTGATTCACCTAAGTCTGTATTTCAGATGCCTCTGTTCATCTGTGTTCATGGGTATTGACAAGGTTTCTGTCCTGCCTGGTTCCACAGCCATTCAGTCTCAAATAAACACACAGAGCTCCACCTTGATTATAAACTGGTTGGCCTATTAGCTCAGGCATCTTATTAACTAGTTATTACATCTTATAGTAACCCATAATTCTTGTCTGTGTAGTTAAGTGGCTTGGTACCTTTTATCAGTGAGGTATTCTCATCTTATTCCTCTGTGTCTGGCTTCCTCTGTGATGACTGTAGACTGACTCTTTCCTCTTCCCTGAATTCTCCTGTTCTGGTTGTCCCACCTCTACTTCCCGCCTGGTTACCCTGCCTCCACTTCCTGCCTGGCTAATGGCCAATCACTGTTTTATTAAAACAATACAATATAAGTGACAGGGTAAAAGACCATTGTCCAACAGCACATGGGCTGTATAAAAAACTTACTATGACCCCTTTTATTCTTTACCCTCTCAACCTGGTGGCCAACAAACTGAGAGGGAAATAGGTCTCCTGCATAGAAGGCAATAGTTCAAGACTTTTATTACACTGTTAGAACAGTGTGGTTCTAAAATCCTATAAATTGGTCACCTCAAAAACCTTTCAATGATTGCATTCAGAATACAGTTGAACATTTTAACTAACACCATGGGCAATGGGAGGGAGGTGCTGTATCTTCCTGGACATATTACTCTTCTCTGTACTAACACTTCCTCGAAGTTTCTCCTTTGGATAATGTTCTTCTTGTGCTCTATCTTGAATAGTTCCCCAAGGTAGACATATATCTCCTGCATCTCTTTAGAGATTGCTGAATGTCCTCTTGCCAGGGATGTAGAGTCTGGCCTCCTGAGCACATCACAGCCTGTGATGTTCCTTTGCTGCATCTTTCTGCTAGACCCTAAGTTCCCAGAGAACAGGAATTTCCAGTGTTTTCTCTCTGCCTTCACACAGTGCCTGGCTCACAGTGCTCAGTAAGTGCAACTGACAGTGTGGATGTGGACAGAATGCTGCAGGATCTGGAGAATGTCACTCACCTGACAATGACAGAGCCACAGAAAGCGCAATCACAGCCCCAGTGAGGACGATGATCACTGCATAGCAGCAGTGAAGCCTAGCAGGAGACTCAGGGGAGACGATTCTGAGACATTTTCCTCGGAGCTTTTTACCTGAAAAATATAAATATGAGAAAATCAATCTCAAGAACCTTTCAGGGGAGAGGATAAATTTACTCAGATAGAACACTTCTGCACTTCCAGTGCTAGAGAGGTAGAAGCTGGAGAGTCAGGGGTACAAGACCAGCCTTGGATACAAAGGAGGTCTGAGTCAAACCTACATAATGATCATTTTTTTTAAAAAAACAAAGTAAGTAAATAAATTAGTAAACACACATATAAATGTATATAATAAAACATACTGACATAATTAATGGGTGAAATATGGGAGCATTTTAACCAGTTTTCAAAATCATATGAAGTAAATTAATATTAGTCCAAAATAGCAAAAACTCTCTGCAAGTTAGGAATTGAAGGCATTCCTTAGGTGTTAGAATCATGATTATGCTGGCCTTCCCTGTCACCTGGTAGGATGAATCCAGACAGTACCCTGTCCCTTTAAGAGACAAGTTCTGCCCACTCCTTGTCTCTTTCTGCCCACTGAGACAAACTGAGTTTGGCCTCTTTCCTTTCTCTCTACCTGCTGTTCTTCTGAAGTGGGTGCTCTTTCTCTCCTTCTCCCTCTTTCCTTTTGCTCCTCTTTCCCCCTACCCCAGGTCTCTGTGTGTGTGTCTCTCTCTCTTCCTCTCTATCTCCCTCCATACCCTCCCAACACCTTCTAAACAAAGTCTCCATACCTCAGCTCTCTCTGTAAGACATATTCTGTCTCTTGCTGACATTCCATACCCTCCATGATACTTGTGTTGTCTTTATTTAGGCTTAGATCTTCCACAGCTCTAGAGCAGGGAGCTACAAAAGAAGCTGTCTGTCATGCAACTTATCTTGAGAATCTGATCACAGAGATGTGTGTGGTTTTGTTTTGTTTTTTGGTCACTCCAACCATTACTAAATTGTTTCTGCTTGTGTTAATTTAATCCATCTGTTTTCCTGTTGGCTTTTTTTCAACCTTCTGTAAAACAAATGTTGAACTTTGAGCTGCTTTATTATTTCTGAATCCAGAACTGTTTGTAGTTCAATGGTGCTTGGAACATAAATCTAAGGTCAACTGTTTATACTTGAACAGCTTCTGAAAAGGAAATTTCAGATCATAGGTGGCCATGGTTTGGGAACAGAGGAAGGGAGTGTCTGGAAAAAAAATCTGCAATGGGCCTCAGAGGAATTTGGGTGGAGTTATAGATTTGTCTTTCACTGTGAGAGAGACATTATTGGTATATGTTTTCAAAACTCAGAAATATACACCTAGTGATGGTGGCTCAAGCCTTCAATTCCAGTACTGGGGAGGCAGAGGCAGAGAGGAGGATCTCTGAGCTTGAGGCCAAACTGGTCTACAGAGTGAGTTTAAGGGCAGCCAGAGCTACACCGAGAAACCCTCTCTTGAAAAAAACAAACAAAGCAAAACAAAACAAAATATTAAAGTAAAAAACAAAACACAAAAACCATTTCACTCACAGACCCAGATATGGTTTCAGAAGACTGAAGCTGCAGAATGCCTCCAGTTACACAACATCCACCCTTTGGACAGGGGCTCTGCTTTCACAAGAGATATGTTCTCTTTGGGTAAGTATTTGGTTTCAAAAGTCGATGCTGCTGGGAAAAGAAGCAGGAACTATTGTCCAGCTTGGAATATAGTATGAAACTTTCTCAAAGAATCAATCGATAAGCAGCAATCAGAAGCAGCAACAACAGCAGTATCAATAGTTAATAATTATTTTTATAATAGGAAATTTCAGTTAGGATAATACTTGGTTTAAGTGATAAGCAATAACATTTGTCATAATTTTTTTTTATTTTGGTAAATATTAGTCTTATTTTCTCAAAATCTAATATTCTTTCCATAAATGAAAAAAAATAAGGTGGAAGGACAAGGAAGAAGGAAAAAAGGAAGATAAAACAGCAGAGTATAAGGAAGCATGGCCATTTTCAAAATGCAAGAAACACAGTTTTGCTTTCTTCCTGAAGACTGAAATAGAAAACCCTTTATATTCTTTTTCCATAATTTACTAGCAGCTCAAAATGCAGAGGATTTGGTCCTTCGTGGGGTCAGCCTGGACACCAGACCTCCTGCCTCCTCCTTACATCCTTTTCCATTACAGTGACTCTTAAAGCAAAAGCCACAGCTTTCCAGGCACCTCCTGCCACTACACACTGCAAAAAAAACTGTTGTTTGAATTTGCCTTTGCTGTGGGACTTGTAGAGCAAGCCTGTTCCACAGGGACTTGGTGTGATTCACCAGAGTAATTTACCATATCCCTAGGAAAAGAGTGGACTAGCAAACCACGAACAAAGAAAAAAAAATCATAATTCAGGCTTTTGTATGGCAATTCACTGTTCATTTCTCTTGCACAAGAACTATTTAAGTATTATATGCCCCAATAGAATAACTAATATAACAGCCTCTCAGGTAACTAAACTTCTATCTGAATTCTCTGCTTCTGCAGAATCTTACCATGACAGACTTAAAGACATGAAGTTCAGCTCTTCTGCCTTCCCTTTCCTTTGCTGTCCCTTGCAAATACCTCTCTGATCTTGTAGTTCTGTTCGCTTATGCATTAAATACATACCCATCTTGACCTCATGCAGGCTGTCTGTGGTACTGAGCATGCTCACAAAAGCGTCTGCAGGTTCTGTAGCACTCATCTCTGACAGAAACTAAAACCGTTGAGAGGGAAGAAATGCCGTTTGTGTGTGTGGGCGGTTGCTCTGCGCACTCAGCCTTTGTATCATGACAGCACACTTCCCTTTCGTAATTATCAACCCTTTCCTGCCTTGACTACCAACCAAAAAGCAGCGGTCCTCTGGAGAGTTTAGCCCATGTTGCTACAACTCTGAGTTTTGAGGACATCACTTAAGAAGGGGGCACCAGAGCCAGATCAGAGGATTTGTGTGCTAAAGATCCAGAGATTGAATCTCTGGGAGACAGAGTCAGAATGGAGAGAGCTGGAGACTACAGTGTCCACAGTCAGTGAACATATTTCTCACCTCTCCGGAAATAAGAGATAATTTATTCTGGAGCCAATTATGGGTGATTCAGGCTATGTCATATGACAGGTTCAAATATGGAAGTGTTTGGTGGTTGGTGTGGGGTTAGAAAGGACATATCGCACTGCCACCATCACCAGTCCAAGAAATGCCTCTAGATGAGTGGTTCTCAATGTTCTTAATGCTGGGCCCCTTTAATAAGTTCCTTATCATGTGGTGACACCAATTATAAATTTATTTCATTGTATGCTATTGTTATAAATCAGAATATCAATATTAATATGCAGGATATCTGATATTTGACCCCTGTGAAATAGTTGTTGAATTCTCCCCAAAGAGGTCACAACCCACAGGTTGAGAACGGCACAGATTTTTAGGGAACTTTTACCTAGGCCAAAGCAAGTTTTATTACTTTGATGCTAAAAAGAATTTCAGGACTAGACAGTTTATGAAGCAGAGTTGAAGTTTTTCTAAAATTTACTTGTATTATATTGAATTATATATATGTGGCTGTGCCTGTCTGTGGGGCTGTGCCTGTGAGTACATGTGCCTGCAGAGGTCAGAAGAGGGTGTCAGATTGCTCCAGAACTGAAACTGCAGGCTTGAAGAGTTTGGATTTAGAATGCAGGTGCTTCAAAATTGTAGCAGCGGAATGTCATCATCCTCAAGAAAAACAAATTTAACATTGCTTTTATCACTTAGGAACATATGTCAAGGAAAATTGTAAAAATCTGTGAAACTTTTTAAAATACTGGAATAAAATATTTGGGTGATGGATACAGTAGTGTATGACTCTGATTCCAGAACTGAGGAGGCTGTGACAGGTAGCTCTCTATGAGTCCAAGGCTAACCTGGTCTACAGAGGGAGCTCCAGGCCAGCCAAGGTTAAGTCAAGAAAATACTATAAATGTAGGGGCTGGAGAGAAAGCTCATTTGTTAAGATCCTTGGCTGCTTTTCCAGAAGACCCATGTTCATATCCCAGCACCTACCTGGAGGCTCACACTTGTCTGCAACTCGAGAGGATCTGATACCCTCACACCAATGAAAACAGTAAAAAATAAATGTTTAAAAACACTACAAACTTAATATATTAATTATAAAAAATATATAACAATAGCACATAATTAGTATAGTAATATAACATATAAATAAGTATACTATAAAATATGAGTTAATATAAATGCAGTCAAAGGGCTTCTGAATTCAGGTATTTGGGGCTACAACAGTCAATATAGCTGGAGATGAGTGTTGCCTAGATTTTCTGATGTCCAAGTATAATGCAGGATATTTGTTTATACTACATGAAAATATGTCTATGTTTTACCTCACCTGCCTAAGACACCTGATTGATTTAATAAAAATCTGAATGGCCATTAGGAGAGGATAGGTAGAATTTCTGGGGAGAGAGGAACTCCGGGAGTAAGAAAGGAGGAGATGCCACTGAGATGCAGAGGGGGTTGGACATACAGAATGGACAGGAGTTAAAAAGCCACATGGCCGGATGAAGATTAACAGAAATGGGTTCTGAGGGTCATGCTTCAGCTTGGGGGACATACAGATCTGAGTATGATACCTAGTGCCATGATGACATCCAAGCCCAGGCTATAGTTGAGGACCATGTCTAGGTCCATGACTCTACTTGCAGGCAGGATAATGTTGTGAGAGTAGAAGTTAGACATATGTCTAGTAGGCAGACAGGAAATGGAACAATAATCAGACAGTAAGAAGGCCAACTTTTCAAGATGGCAGCTTCTTTCTCACACTCTTGACCTAAGACAAAGCCTGGCAGCTTAAAACAAAGTTGTAGAAGGCTTTTAATCTGGCCAATAGCATACACTCTCCTCCATAAGCACACATAACAGCTTCAAGTCCTGATCCCTCCCCTGCCCTACTCTCTATAGCCTCTTCTGTCTCTCCTCTCTCTCTCCCCTTCCATTTTCTATTGTTTCCCCTTCCCTCTTTCTCCCTCTCACCCCCTCTCTACCTCTCTCTCTTTCTACTTCTCTCCCTCTCTCCCTTCTCTTTTCTCCCTGATCCCCCTGCCCTCAGCTTGCCTCTCGCAACATCCAGATCACAAAATCCTGCTGGAACAGAACAAGAGTCCATGGCCGCCATGGTGGAGCCATCTTGATTCTGACTTTTCATTTACTGGTTTACTTTGTGTTTTGTGTCTTTTCAGAGCTCTAACTTAGAAGTGAAACCGTTAATACAAGCTGACTTTAGTAAGTCCCAAGGTCTTTCAGTGCTCCCCTAGCTGGAGGCCTCTCCCTTTAACCCCAGAATTCTGAGCCTGAGCCAGAGATAACAGATGGCGTCCTGCAACAGAGTGTAGCCTGACACAGTGATAAGGACAGTCTGGCACAGCGATGGGAACAGAGTGAACTCTAAGTCAGTGATAAGGACTTCTGGTCCTTCTCAGGCCCACAGCAATTCTGGGAGTCCGGGAGCCCAGAGGGGGCCTAGGCAGAAATAGACTCCTGGCCTAGGTTGGGGAGACATATCCCTGGAAACCCAGGGACAGTTAGGCAGTGGGGTTGTGTTGTAAGATGGAGTAAGAATGGACACAAGTACCTGTCTATTTCTTCAGGCCCACAGAAGGCACAATGGCAAAAGCAAGTTTTCATAACAGTCAATATTTATTCTTACACTGGGTGTGTGCTCTTTACTCTAGACTGTTGAACTTAGAGAAATGGATCGGGGGAGGACAGACAATGAAAAAAGTTTCAGTACTTTCCACTTCCTGTGATGTTTGCTTGTTTGTTTTTGTTTTTTAGACATGAGCAAAGACACAGAGTTTTGTGTGACCTTGTAATTGCTGGAACATTAGATCTCCAGGCAGGTCAGAGGTTCTGTTCTTGGCCAGCAGTTTTCCCTTAAAGGGCCTTTACTACCCCTGTAACCATTTCAGAGGTAACTGCAGTTCATCTGCCCTATAGCTCTCAGGAGCTATAGGAAAGTGGAGATGGGAAGAGTCAACTTTCTTTCTTGAAAAACATGCTTTCTTGTACAATAAACAATTATATGCACTGGCCACATTCACCTGATTGAAACATGGGAGAGCTACACATTGGCCATTAAAAATTAGTTGACTTACTACTGAAGGGGGCACACCCATGCCACAGCATATGTGAGAGGTCATGTGGTCACAGGAGCCAGTTCTCTCTGCTTCCTTGGGCTATACTTTCTGTCCTGCTTACAGATTTGGAAGAAATCTGCCTACTTTTTATTTAACATATAAAAATACAGCAGTGAGCACTTCTTTAGAATTTATTAGGAAATCTTCAACTTCTGAGTACAAATTACTTTTTCAGAACTAGGACTTCCTGGAATGGAGAGATGATGACTGAGCAGTTAGGAGATTTATCTGAGCTCTGTCCCCAGAACCCACACTGGGTAGCTCATAACTGCCAGTCCCAGTCCCAGAGGATCTGTTACCATGCACACATGCACATAAATCTTTAAGAAAGAAAGGGGGAAGAAAGAAAGAAGAGGGAGGGAGGGAGGAAGAGAGAAAGGAAGAAGCTCCTTGAATATTTTCAGTTATTGCCCTCCCACCTTACACTATTGCTGCCCAGCTCCCCCCTCAAATTCCCCATTCAGCCAGAGTCCTGGAGTTCTGAGGGTGTAAGGTGTTGTTGGTTGGTTTTATTTTGAGGCTGCCTCAGGATTTGAAATAAACCAGTTACTTCATCCACCCGAACATCTTTTTTGGGCTCTTTGAGTTTCATTTCTCTGCAAAGCTTGTGGCAAAAGAGAAAAGAAAGTACAAGTAATGCATTTCTTTTAAAAAGTAAAAATTCTGAGCCGGGCGGTGGTGGCGCACGCCTTTAATCCCAGCACTCGGGAGGCAGAGGCAGGCGGATCTCTGTGAGTTCGAGACCAGCCTGGTCTACAAGAGCTAGTTCCAGGACAGGCTCCAAAACCTCAGAGAAACCCTGTCTCGAAAAACCAAAAAAAAAAAAAAAAAAAAAAAAAAAAAAAAGTAAAAATTCTGGATCTCTAACCGCTCCTAATGATTCAGCCTGGGTGCAATATTAAAGGATTGTTTTCGGTTTTGTTTTCTTCCTTTTGAAATCCCAAAAGATAAGAATCAGCAGTTAGACTGCAGTGCCCTGCTTTGAATGGTCATTAGCCAGGTCCTGCCTATTTTCTGTAATCAGAGGAGAAAAAAGGAAAGAAATAAAAAGAAAATGAAATTATGAAGTACCTAGCACAGATTGCCCCATCCTGGAATAATGTTTGATATTTCATCAGAAGAAAGGCTTCATTGTCCTCTGTAGGTAAGGGTAGAGACATTTACTTTCTTAATCACTATATTTTTTTCATAATTTTTTTAAAAATTTTTTTATTGAAAAAATAATTTCCGACTCCTCCCAGCCTCCCATTTCCCTCCCCCTCCTTCCACTCCTTTCCCCCTCCCCCCACTCCTCTCTCCCACCCTCTCCAGTCCAAAGAGCAGTCAGGGTTCCATGCCCTGTGGAAAGTCCAAAGTCCTCCCCCGTCCATCCTGGTCTAGGAAGGTGAACATCCAAACTGGCTAGGCTCCCACAAAGCCAGAACATGAAGTAGGATCAAAATCCAGTGCCATTGTCCTTGGCTTCTCAGCAGCCCTCATTGTCTGCCATATTCAGAGAGTCCGGTTTTATCCCATGCTTTTTCAGTCACAGTCCATCTGGCCTTGGTGAGCTCCCAATAGATCAGTCCCACTGTCT